CACACAAAACGACAGTTTACCTCTTTTTGGGCATAAACTGTGGGGGAGATTATAGATAAAAAGGAAAGGTACATTTCTGCCAAAAATTTTGAGACTGAGCTCAGAAATGTTAAGGACGTTTCTGAGTCTGAAAAGTGGAAAATTTACCAGAAAAAAATCAGAAATTTTGAAATGAATTTCAAAATTTGCTAGAGAAAAATGAAATTTTGAGATTAAGTTCAGAAATTTTCTAGAAAAAATGGGAAAATTTGGAAAATTTGCTGGGGGTGAAAAATCTAAATTATTGAGATTAATCTCAGACATTTTCTTGAAAAGGTTAGACATTTCTGAGTTTGAAAAGTTCAACATTTGCTAGAAAAATCAGAGAAATTTTCCAGAAAAAAAAGTCCAAGAAAATTTCTGAATTTGAAAATTTGATAGAAAAACCAAAAAAAAAATAAAATATTGAGATTAGTCTATGAGATTTTCCAGACAATTTTCTGAAATTTCTTAGCATGAAAAGTGAAAATTGTGCTACAAAATTTTCAGAAATTTTGAGATTAATATGAGAAACATTATAGAAAAACAAGGTAATTTCTGAGTTTGAAAAGTGGAAAATTTTCTAGAAAATATAAGAACATTTCTGAACCTGAAATTTGGGAAATTTGATAGAAAAACCCCAGTAATATTGAAATTAATATTAGAAATGTTCTAGACAAAAACAAGGTATTTTATGAGTTTCAAAAGCTGAATGAAGATTTTCCATTGTTTCTGAGAATAGAATAGAATAGAATAGAATAGAATAGAATAGAATAGAATAGAACAGCTGTTTATTTGTTTAGCCAACCGCGCCTCCATCCATCTCTAATTGAGCCACATAAATAAATAAACTAATGAATTAATTAAGTTAATATTAGATTTTTAACCTCTTTATGTGGCCTCATGGTGCACACATGTAAGTAGGTTCGTGTGGGTACCACCGTGCGCTCATTACCAAACCCAGAAGAAATGTAGCCCAGCATACCGGAAATATTAGCTCCTTTCAAAATAAAACACAGTCTTAATATGTAGATGTAAGTAATTGTGATATATTTTCATGGAATAATTGCACTTAATTTACACTAAAAGTACATTTAATTTTTATTAAGATATATTTTTCTTGTGGATGGAAACTAAAACATCAACAACACCTAAAAACTGCAGCCATATCACTTTTCAAAAGGCTAGGTAATATTTGCTGCTCTTAATCCATTTTATTTAGCTGGGCCGACGGGGAAAAGGGTCTTCCTCTCTTATTTTGAAGTGCTCAACCGGACGTGCTTCTGTATAAAACTCCGAACTTGACACTGAGCTCATTAAAGCTGCGGCAGAACCTCAGCGGCACCACCTGACCCACCAGTTACAAAAAGAAACCAGCCGAACAAAAGGAGAGGGAAGCATCCTGGTACAAACAGGTAGAAAAATATTTACCTGCTCTGCTGATTAAGAATTTTATTTAGTATTTATCCCTGTTTATTTTTAATATTCGCCGCATCTGAGGTTAATCTAAAAATAAAATTACGCTTCTAAAATAAGGAGATAGACACTCTAGTTAGTCTAGTTTTGATTTATTTAGTGAAACCTGTTTTGATTTGTTTATTATTTTATGGATTGAGTCGTGATTTCTGCGCCGGCCAACGCCTCAATCTGCCGCCGATCCTCCACCGCAACCAAAAACCAATAATCAATATCTCCAGCAGCCGATATAGGCGGCAGATTTTAACCCCCGTTTTTCTTTATTTGTCGCCGAGCAGCCTGGAGGTTTTTGTTGGTGCTGATATGAATGAGCTGACGCATGCAGGACGCGTTTCCAGGAATAAAACCAGCCTGAAATAAAACCCGCAGAAATCTGAGCGGCATTTCCGACTGCGGTGACCCAGTTTTTCATGTGGGTGTCAGGAATAATCCGCATCTGTTTGACGGAATAGAGGATGACTGATGCTGAACCACACCCGGCTAACAATAATCACCTCCATCATCTTCTAATTTAGCTCCGACGGGAGCGTCCATTTTGGTCTTGGTCTCTGCGGTGCTGCGACTTCACAAATGTATTCTAGTTTACTTTAAATGTACTGCATTGATGTGTTTTTTTTATTGCTAATAAATGTATCAATAAAATAAGCTGGGTTATGTAGTATTGGTTTTAATGCAGCGATTTTACAAAATGAACAGTATAACAAGTTACTAGTCCTGATTTGTGAACTGCTGACTTGATGACATCACAAGAGGTAAACGAATCAAGCTGTAGGAGAGTTTTTGACCGATTTCAACAGATTTTGAAGCATCTTTGTTGCATTTGAGTTACCAGGGATTCAGCTGTTTGACCTGGTTAAAGCTGCAATACGTAACTTTTATAAAATGTTTTTTTTTTTTTTTTTTTAGATATTTGTTGAAACTATCATCATGTCGCTCTGTTATGAGATAAATAACTTGTGAACAGATCAATCTGTCTTAGTACACTGTAAATAAGACTCCACTCATTGCGCTGTGGTGTTACCTAGCAACCCCAGCCAAGTCCAGCCCGTCACCTAGCAACCACTTCTAGTTTCACTACAGATTATTTCACTTGTAACAATATCAGTGAAACTATTACTTTTTAAAATCAAAATTAAGGAATTATTGACTTAAAACAGCTCCTATATTTTGCTTAAAAGTTACTTCAAAGTTAGTTTTTTTACTTCAAGGGAAATAAGATTTTTGTATTAGAAACTGGACCAAAACACTGCAAAAAATAACATTTTGCATTTTGACGTGTTCAACTAAAAATGCACAATAATTTTGCTGTGTATTCTTTTCTTTCTAACAAATTGACATGTAATATTTTAAGTGAAAGGTTTGAAAAAGGGACTGAAAGTTGTACAGTTTCTTAACTCATTGGTCAAGATGTCAATTTTAGTTTATTCAGCAACAAAAATGGAGTTCCATTATCGGACGAGACTTTTAACAGTTACAAAAATATTAAATTATCATTATAAACTCACAGAAGGTCCTCAAACTAATAACTCGTTTTTGAGTAAAAGATTACTTTAGATTTACTCTGGCTAAAAAAAGAAAAACAATTGTTTTGTACAGAATAGTTTCTATTTAAGACGTACATCTGTTATTGAAAATTGCACACAAAAAAAAACAACAAAGAGTCTTCGTCTGCATCAGCTCCATTTGCTGGAGTAAAACATTCCTACACTGAAGAGGTGGTGAAAGTAGCACTACTTCAACATATTTCTACTGAAATAAAAGTAAAATGTAGGGGCCCAAGAAATTACTCAAGTCGGAATAAAAAAGTATTTGGTAAAAAGTTTGCTCAACTACTGACTAACTGATCAAATTATTCATCATTTAATATTTAAAAATTACATAATTAAATGGACCAAAATATGGAGTTAAGTGGAAATTTTGGCATTTTAAAGACAAAACTGACAATAATTCACATAAGCAGCAAAAAATAACCAAATCAGACTAAATAACATGTTTTCCAAGCCAGTTTCTTTCAATAAATAACTTATGAATCTTTAACAAAACCTGCAGGTCTGTGTCTGAGTCTGGTGAATATTTGGTTAAAACATGTTTGTCTTTCAATCAGTGGGTAGAAAATCCAGAAATTTTATTTTAATAAGAGTTAGAAGTACAGCGTGCTAAAAATATTCCTAAACACACATTTTTACAAAAAGTTACTGAAGTAAATGTAATGGAGTAAATCTAACCAGGTTCTATTCAGCTCTGCTAATCTGCGTCCAGGGCCCACACTGAACTGCTGCATGCGCCACACATGGCCCCTGGGCCTCAGTTTGGACAGCACTGTGTGTCTGTTCATGTTTATTTTAAACGTTTTTGTTTACAGACTGCGACAGGATGGAGAAATCCAGCAGCCAGTACGACTCGTTCCTCTTCTGGAGGCAGCCGATCCCGACCCTCGACCTGTCGGAGTTGGAGGATCTGGGATTCGCTGTCGGCGATCCGATCAGCAGCAGCAAGGCGAGGGACAAGACGTCCCAGCTGCGCAGACAGGACGACGAGGCGAGCTGATAGTTTACAAACCGTTTCTGAGTTCATTGGGTTGTCCTGTCCCAGAACCTGCAGCATCTTTACGCTTGTTTTCCCCGCAGGACGAGGAGTTGTCTGAGTTTTCCTCCTTTAATTACTGGAGAGCTCCCATCGCTGATGTGGACGCTCTGCTGGCTGACCTGAACCTGCTGCCCTGAACCCGCCAGAACCTGAACCCAGATCAGCCCGACTTCATCCAGAACCGTCAATAATCTGAGACTAGACCTCCTAATTCTGCAACCAGACTAAAGTTCACCTGATTATCTAAGGTTATTTATTTACATCTCAGTTTGTTCAAGTTTAATTATTTGGATTTTACAAACTGCAACACTTAGAAACACCTTATATATTTTGCATAGATTTAATCTAAAATAAATGAGTTTATTTTAATCTATCTGCACATTTTGGCTGCAGGATCAAACAACTTCCTGTCCCATTTAGTCTGATTCATCTGGTATGAAATAAGACTGTAATTATTTAACATCCTGCAGTTTGATTTTTGTTTTATGAGTTAACGTTTGTGCCTTTTGTCATTTTCTTAGGATCCGCTGTACTAACAGCTAATTCTTCATGTTTTTATTTATTTATGCATGTATTTATTTATTTTTGTCACTTGCTGTTGTTGAGCAAAACTGAAACTTCAGAACAGACCTGACACCAGAAATAAAAGGATCCTTTTTTTAAGAGTCCAGTCTGATTTATTTAAAATGTATCAATTCCCCCCCCAAAAAATTAGAATCTGAGTAAAATATTAAGATAATAAAAAAAAACTTATCCAGTATATTTGGAGTAAGTTTAGACTTAGGCACCATGAAAACTGAATCAAAACAAAATCCAGACAGTCACACAGTATGTTTTCTAATAAGTTGTACTTTATTGCATTAAACAAGTATTTTAAAGTAATAAAAAAAAAAAAAACTTAATATATAGTATAACATTTGTTTACTTTTACATGACATGGCAGGAGTGGGAAGGCATTTGAGAAAAAAAAAACATTGTATAATTTTATAAACTACTAATCACATTTCTCCCAAGATTCAAATTAATTATCAGCAAAAAATAAGTTGAAATAATAAAGTGTTTTCACACCTTAAAGAAAAATCCAGTACTGGTTTAAGCGTGAACGATACATGGATTATTGAAGCAGGTAGCATGGAGCCACGCATATAAAGTCAGTAAATAATCTTAACACAGAACTAGTAAGATCTCTTTTTTTGTTTGCTTTTGATACAGTTTAAAATATAGTTTTTAAATAAAAATACACAAAAAACGTTAACATATTTGCCTTTCAAGTTTAAAAACCGATAACACTCACTTTGCAAATTGTCTAAACCACGTTTAAAAATGTGTTTATTTTAGGGAGTTCAGCTAAATTTTTAATTAAATTAAGCTCTGCGGTAAATTCAACTCCGACATCTTTTAAATAGTGTCTTAGAAGGGACAGGAGAGCTCTGATTTTTCACCCCCTGTTCTGGGATCAGCATGTTTTCTGACTTCGCGTGAGTCTCAGCGTTATACATGCTGCAGTAAGCTGATTTCTGGTCTGTTCTGGTTCGCGCTGGCTAAGCCCCACCCACAGGGAGGTTAACGTATTATGGCTTCCACCTCCGGTGTCGCGCCGCCGCCATATTTGTATCAGACAAAACACAATAATCAAGAGTTTTTAAACGGCTCCTCGGCGGGTGAATCCCTGCCAGACTATCACACACCCCTGTTGAAATACAGTTACAGGGTTTACCGGGTAGCAAAAGAGGCAAAAACCAGCCGAAATATAACTTTTTAACCATTTGAACGCTTACGGGCTAACGGCTAACATAGTTGTCTGGTAAACAGCAGAATGAAAAAAGTACGCATTTCCTGCCATGACTTTCAAAGTAAAATGGGGGCGGTGATAAACTGGTATTTTGGTGAAATACTTTAGCGTATTTTGACTCGCAAAAAATTATCTACACTTTAAGGCTTTAATTTTTATACCGTATCTTTATATATATTGGAAGAATATTTACTTTAAAAGTGGTAAAATATTTTCCAAAAATAATAACACATGTAAAATGCAAAAAGTCAGTGGGCAGTTATGTTAATTTTTCTAATTATTATTTTTGACAAAAAGTTTCTAGTCAGTGTTGTCTCGTGCCATATTTTTATATTGTTTAGTCTGATGTAATTAAAACTCTGAATATAATATAGCATAACTTTTTAATATTTCTGTACAAAATAAAATCTACGAAGAATTGGTCAAATATTTTAGTGGCATCCATGGCACAGGTTGTGATCTAATATAGTGTGCAGCTCTGAATTTAACACATGATACATCTTAGTTGAACGTTAAAGCTGAGATGACAAAGTATGTCTGGTATTCTTCTTATTTATATGAAATATTTTGACAAGTGTTCAAATATTTGACCATTTTAAAATCTGACGGAATCGCATAAATTGGAAGACGCGATAAAAGCTGCATTTTCGTGACATTTAATTTTTTAAAATTAAAATAACGAGAACTAGTCTTATTTTGAAGGCTCAATATCAACTTCCGGCTGCGTAACTGCTACCGATTGCTAACTTTCAGCAGTAAACAAGCTCTGAGGACTACGACAAGCTACAGAGGTCCCAAATGCCCGTTTTTAGCGAATTTTGAAACAGATTCTTCGCATATCTGGCCCATGCTACGTCTCGGGGAACCATAAAATCGCACAAATCCTCTTCACGCGGCGGGGTTTGCGCTTCTTAGCCGGCTAGCTTGCTAACATTAGCAGAGAGGAGCAGCCTGGTTGGACCCGAACAAACCTGAAGGCGGTAAGTAGCCGCTCTGCTGTCGTACGCCAGGAGAAGACTCATATTTTCCGAGCTTTCTTATATTTAAAGATTACAGAAATAACCACAAAAGGTGGAACAATATCATCATACACTCCTCCGGTAAGCGCTTTGGCGGTGCACGCTTGCAGAATGCAACTTAACCGGATGTGGAAGTAGTTTTTTCTCCGTGTGTAAAATAGGAAATTTCTATGTGACTTCCCCCGGAAAACCAACAACTTAATATCAAACAGTTTCCTGTCGGTGCTTCTGTTTATTTCTCGGTAGCACCGACGGAGATGTTTATATGTAGAATGCCGTAGAAAGCAGCTTAGATGGGGGGACGGGGGTACGTGGCACATGGCGGTCTATTTTCTGGCCGTGAAGGCGCGTAAAATGGCTCCTCGGCCCCGGAGACAGAAGTCTCGTCCCGCTCCGCTGTTTCGCAATAACAAACAGTGTTTGTTCGCAGGAGTTCCATTATCGGACGAGACTTTTAACAGTTACAAAAATATTAAATTATCATTATAAACTCACAAAAGGTCCTCAAACTAATAACTCGTTTTACAAAATGGTCCCACTTTGATTCTTAAGAAGTTTTTTTCTGTATAGTTTTAGCAAAAAGGAAGGTAATAGGCTAATGCTTGAATGCGAGTAATTCCATAATCGGACACATATGAATATGTATGCGTGATCCTGTTTATAAGACCATAATTTGCTTTTATAAATTTGCTCATGAACCGGAAAAGTTGTCCAATTTTTTTTAAACTAAATTATTGAAACTGCACAAGTTTTTATTTTGTTGTAAATGCAGTTTGTTACTGAAAGGCGGGGTGTTGTCCGATAATAGACACATATTTAGCTTTGAAACCCCGTTACAGTGAATGGAGGGGGAAGCTAACACCCTTCTTTTTTGAAAGCAGTTTTTAACTTTTTTTTTTGTTGGAGAGTTTCAGTGAAATAAATTGACAGATTAATTATGTTCTGGTGTTTAATAAATAAATCCACTTAGGCTTAGTTAAATATTCACATTGAACCTAAGAAAGGCATCATTAAAGTTTTTTAATGATAGATTTTATAAGCTTTCACCAGCATTAAAAGAATATTTTCTGACATAAATAAATCAGTTTATGTGGATAATGTGTGAAACTAATTCCCAAAACATTTGAGAACTATTAAAACCATTGTTGTAACCATTTAAAAACTGTTTAGGTTTTACATTTTTGGAAAAAAGCAACTGTTTTTACTTTGATCTATTTTTAAACTGCTGTTAATTCATTTTCCTGTCTTAGAAACTAAATAACTATAGTTTGGAGTTATTTTTGTTTTTTGTTCATGTAGCCGTCACTGCCTGTGTTTCATTTTCATGTTTTTAGCCACAACATAAGCTGAAAATACAGTTCAATTAATGTTCAATAAATTACATTGTTATTGAAAGGTACACCACAGACTGATGTTTTCAACCCTTTACTTTTGTTAATTATGATGGTTTTCTGCTTGCAGCTAATGAAAACACAACATTTAATATTAGATATTACATCAGACCAATAAACTTTGCTTGAAAAATTGTTCAAAAGGCTTTTAATCTGACAAATGAGCCTCATCAGAATTCATATTGTAATTTGCAGAATGTGGCTCATGCTGCTAATCTAAAATCTGTGTATTTTGGATGAGGATAAGCATTGCAAGTGTTTTTTATGAACCGCTGCTCTGATGTGTGTTAGATGTCGCTGGTGGATCTGGGGAAGCGGCTGCTGGAAGCAGCAAGGAAAGGAAACGACGATGAGGTCCGAAACTTGATGGCCAACGGAGCGCCGTTCACCACCGACTGGGTGAGACGCTCAGAATACTCCTTTACAATAATCTGTTCTACCTCTAAATTATGCAATGACTCGATAAAAGTAAAGCTTTTTTCTCATTTTGTCATTTCCAACCACAGACTTTAATGTATTTTATTCAGAGCTGCAACCATCAATAATTTTACTAATCGATTATTTGGGCAGTTAATCAGATAAAAAAATATTTGGCACATTTTTCATTTAACCTCTAATAATTTTTAATACAATATTAGAAATACATTAAAAATGCAAACAGACAAATAACTCAGTTCCTCTTTTAAATAAGAAAATAAAAACTTTATTACATAAATGCAATAAAATGGAGAAAAGAGTTGGTGAATATTTTGATCTGCATATTAAGAATGTAATACAGACTTCAGGTGGTTCAAAACAGAAACTGATTAAATTCATTTGGTTCTGTTATAACAACATTTCCTTTAATGACTTTTGTCTCTTTTTGTGCTTTTGATCTCACTTTTCCACACCAACCAGCTGAAGCAGCCAGTTTATTCACTGCAGTGATGTCACAGTTGTTTAATCTGCATGTGATTTCTTCCTCTTCTTCTTCCTCTTCTTTCTCCACAGTTGGGGACATCGCCCCTCCACCTGGCCGCCCAGCACGGCCACTACTCCACCGCCGACGTCCTGCTGAGAGCGGGCGTCAGCAGAGACGCCCGAACCAAAGTGGACAGGACCCCGCTGCATATGGCAGCTGCTGAGGGACACACAGTCATCGTAGAGCTGCTGATCCGGGTGGGACTTCAGGACCGACTGGCTGCAGTTTGTTTCAGTCGGCCATCTTTTCTTTACCTTTATGACATCACCAGGGGGGTGGTGGATCCAAAGACCAGAAAATAGTTGGACAGAATTGTGTTTTTGACTCTTACAGTGCATTTAATGTATATAGACAGAACAGTGGACGGAGCAGATAATGCTAAATATTAATAATAATAAACAATAAAAGAGCTAGTTGATGAAGAATAAAAAGAACTAGTTTAAAAGCAATAGATGAACCAATTTATAAACAGTAAAGCAATTAAAAACAAACAGTTTGTAAACAATTAATCTAGTTATATAAAACCGCTAAAACTTTAAAAGTAGTAAATATGAAGTGGGGGACAAGACAAACAATAAAATCTTAAACATGATTGTGAAGTATTTAAAAAAAGCAAAAGTCTTTAATGATCACATGAAAGTTTGTGTGAAACGACTAAACGTCGCATCAAGACTTTCACTCTTTGCTCTAAATGCAGACGACCAGATAAATTCATGTGAATTAATGTTTTAAATCGTTTTTGGTAAACCTGCTTCAGAGCGGTGCAGACATCAACGCCAAAGACATGCTGAAGATGACGGCTCTCCACTGGGCGGCGCAGCACGGCCACCACGGCGTGTGCGACACCCTCATCAAACACGGTGCCGACGTCCACGCGCGCAGCAAATTCGACAAGACGCCGTTCGACATCGCAGCCGACATCCAGAACACGGAGCTGATGCTGATGCTGCAGGTGAGAGGAGCTGCAACATCTAGTCAAATTAAGTTGTTTCTAGTTATCACTGCAGCTGCAAATCATCTTAAACATTTACTCTTTCTGCTGGATGCCACATCAAAGTGCCAACTTAAGATCCGCACCAACAGAATAATTTTAAATTAATCCACTGTAGGAGCTAATTAGCTAGCATGTTTGCACTTAGCCAGATGTTTGCTGGTGTCTGCTTACAGGAGAGCATGCAGAACCAGGTTAACATGAACCAGGTGAGCATGAACGTGGAGACGAGCAGCACCACCAACCAGCCACAGTTCATAATCCAGGGAATTCCCGCCATCCCTGGGGGCGTGGTGAACCTGGCGGAGCTGCTGAACAAGGCCAGCGCAGGTGAGAACAGAAACTGTTTAAATGAACCCAAAATGAACCTGGTGTTGGTTCAACGGCGTTTAAATACTCTGACCTGGAGAAGACAAGGAACTGAAGCCTTCTGAGGCCAAGGAGTGAAGTTTGTTATGCCGACATGAAAACATGAGAAAAAGTTTACATCGGCGTGTTCGAGGTTTCTGACAGTAGAAAATGTAAAGTATGACACAAAGTATTTGTCTTTGTATTATCAAGCTTTTAATAATTAATAGAACCATAAACCTTTTCTGAAATGTCGACTTTGCTGAACCCAAATCAGCTTTTATTTAATTTATTAAACTTGGCTAAATATAGCAAGCGTTTTGAAAGAAAGTGACTGAAATCCTGTTTTTAATAAATTTTTTTAAGTTAAAAAGAAACTGAAAACTAGATTTTTAATGCAGAAATTTGCAAAATTCTTGTTATATTTTTGCCTCATGTATATCAATACATTATTATTTTATATTTAGTCTAGATTTATGTTTATTTTATTATTTATCTGTACCAGTAACGCTTGTATTTTGTGTTTTTCAGTATTTTATATACATACTCTTTATGCATTGTTGCCTTTGTACAATGACAATAACTGTAAAGTCTATTTCATGCAGGAAAAAAATCAGGCTACTTTATTTGCTTGATGTTAATTTTTATAAATATTTTCTTGACCTTTTGATTTAAAGCTTCAGATGTTTAAATGTTTCTTTCAGCTGGTTGTAAAGTCAGGGCCTCCAGCTGAAGAGATTTCTCTCTGAAATGCTTTTGCTCTGCAGGAGAGTCGGAGGAGGCGATGGCAGCCAGCGCTCTGGACTCCAACATCCAGCATGCCGCAGTGGTGAACGAGAGCGGTCAGCGGGTCATCACGATCGTAACGGACCAACATGGCAACCTTCAGACCACGGGGGGGATGTCCCAGCCCTTCTTCGTCACGATGCAGCACGGACAGCAGAGTAAGTCCCAGGCTGAGGGCTGCAGGACGGCTCATGTGCCGATAATTATTGGTTTGTTTTTTCTCTGTCAGTGCTCGCAGTGCCGGCCAACACGGTGACGGAGGAGGTGGTAACAGAGGAGCAGCAGCCTCCGCCCTCCAGGAAGAGGAAGCTGGAGGTGACCAACAACCACAACGACACAGGAGAGACTGTGAGTACTTCCTGTTCACGTAGCTGAATTACATTTAACACAGGGTTGTTACAAAGTAAAAGACATTTACAGTCACATCAATTCACTGGTCAAAATGTCCCTCCAGATATTTTATTATAAAGCAGGGAATTCTGGGTAAATACAACCAATACTAATGCAAGCGTCTAGCGCTAGCTACAGAAATGGCTCATAGTCTTTTGCCAAAGACAAAAGAGAAATCCGACAACCATTAAAATCTACATTTCATGAAGAAGGAAGTTGAGTTATTGTCTTCTTCAGAGGTTTTCATGTTGTTTCCTTCAGTAGCTCTTGGTACAGCGCCCCCACAGGAGAGGAGGGGAACAGGTTATTTTAATTAATTTGGATCGTTTGACACAGTGTGAAAGAGAAACAGCTGAAAATGTAACAAATGTTGCGATTTTGGTCCCCAATCAAACCGAGTCTACCGAACTACCAGGTGTGAAAACTTCCTTATTCATCTAGATATGTGTTATTTAAATTATGTTCAATAAATAATTCAAATTTGAACATGATCCGCTGAATTGAACATTTCTGTTATGAATAAATTCATTTTGGAGATATTAAAGCAGTGTTTCTCAACCCTGGTCCTCACCGCCCCCCTGTCCTCCATGTTTTAGGCATTTCCCTTCTGCCACACACCTGAATTGTATCTCTGGGTGATTTACAGGCTTCTGCAGTACTTGGTGGTCATGCAATCATTTGAATCAGCTGTTCTGGAATAGAGGCACATCTAAAACATGCAGAGCAGGGGGCGCTGAGGACCAAAGTTGAGAAACTCTGTATTAAAGGCTAAATCAAACTTGCCCAAGTGCAGCACCATGTGGAACACCAGAACTGACTGACTGGTGAATGTGGAGAAATTAAAAAAGAAACAGAAAACAAACTTTGGATTATCTGGTACTGATGGGATTTTCTGGTCAGTTCGGTTTTCTATTTTGTCTGTTTTCATTGTAAAAGTTTCTTCTTCTTCGCTCTTCAGGAGCTGCTGCAGAGACAGCTGCAGGAAGCTAACAGGAAGGCTCAGGAGTACCGGCAGCAGCTCCTCCGTAAGGAGCAGGAAGCCGAGGAGTACCGTATGAAGCTGGAGGCCATGGCCCAGAGTCAGGCCAACACCAGCAACGGCAACGCCGCGGCCGGCGCCAACGCCGCCAGCCCGGAGGAGGTGGTGGGAGGGGAGGACGAGGAGGAGGGCGCCGCCGGCGTAGTGGAGGAGGAGGGAGAGATGGTGGTGCTGCAGGAAGGGGGAATCATCATGGAAGGGGAGGAAGGTCAGGTGACGCTGGTGGAGACGGGCGGCGAGGCGACGCAGGTCAGCTCCTAACGCCGGAGGAGACGCATCGTAACAGGAGGCGGCTGATTGGACTCATTTAACTGAGACAGAGGGAAGCAGCTGACTCACCACAGGAAGTACAGAGCATCCGAGTCAAGATGGATTCCTTACAGAGAGACGGACCGGCCAGGAAAGTTCAGCTCTGCTTCATTTTAAGCCCCAGAATGACCGGATGCTGACAGATCAGCTGACCGTCGCTTCGATGCGATCCAACAGAAAGGGAAAAGATGCATGAGCTGACATGGACCTTCATGATGCGTTTGCTTTACGTTGTCATCCGTCTGCGTAGTTCAGTGTGAGGAAATGTGGGAACGATTCGGCACAGAGACGACCGTTTCTGTTCCTGATAGAACTACATCCTGCTTCCCTATTCGAAATGTGACTCAGAAGAAACTTAGACCTTTAGTTTCAACATCGGAGAATCAGAGCCACGCTAGGAAATAAAAAAATATAAAATCACGAGACTAAAGTCAAAACATTATGTGAATAAAGCTGAAATAATACGACAACAGTCATATTATAAGATTAAACTCATATTATGAGAATAAAGTCAAAATGATACAAAAATAAATGTGAAATAATACAGGAATAAAGACGAAATAATATGAGAAAGTCGTACAAGAATAGATTTAAAATCACCTGAAAATAAAGTCAAAATAATAAAAGTATAGTCATATTACCATTTTATTATGGTAATATTATGACTTTATTGTCATGATTTAGAATTTATCCTCATATTATTTTGATTTAGTTCTTGTATTAATATGAATTTTTCTCATTAGGACTTTATTCTTGTATTATTTTGACTTAATTTGTGTAGTATAACTTCATTCTTGGACCATTAAGACTTTGATCTTGTAATTTTTTGACTATCCTTTTCTTTCAACTCTTATTATTTTGACTTTATTCTCTTTATCCTATGACTTTATACTCGTAATTTTAATTTTTATCAATGTTTCTTTTCTTAGCGTGGCCCTAATACTCTGTAAGTATGTCTTCTTTTTGAAGGCCAATAACTATCCCATCAGACCCATTTGTTTTTTGTTTTTTTTTTAAACATGTATTATGTTCTGTTTTTGTCGTTTAATTTAGTTAATCCCAAAGTTAGCTGACCTCGTGTGACCGTAACTGAGCGATTATCGAAACACTGCAGTGATTCCTTTTAATGTGATCTTCATGTTTAGTGCGTTTGGAGGGGATTTCATCATATTCAACATGAAATTCAGATCTGTTATCACCGCAAAAACACAAAATCTTACCAAGTAGATTTAGTTTTGGTCTAGTTTCTTGTGTTAGTTTTGTTTTGAAATGAAACACAACTACCTTTTAAATAACTTTTAAATAAGATTTAAGAGCTTGTTTAATATTGATGAAAAATACAAGTTTCACTAGCAGATTATTTCACTTTTATAAGTGAAATAATGTTATAAGTGAAATAATCTGCCAGTGGAACTAAAACTGGTTGCTAAGTAACGGGCGGTTGCTAAGTAACGGCTTTAGTCCCTCTTGCCCGTGGAACTAGAATGTTTTCATCGATAAAAAGTAATAAAAAGGGATTACCGACTTAAAACAAGCTTCTATGTTTTGCTGAAAAGTTACTTGTAACCTAGTTTTGTCTTCTTTCAAGTGTTCCAAGATATTTGCACCAGAAACTAGACCAAAACTACTTGGTAAGATTTTATGCTTTTGCTGTGTTTGAGTCCATTATATTGCAATATTAAATTATTTAATGGCAAACTAACTTAGCAGTTACACAGATATTTTATTACATGTTTATCCTAGCAGAAAACCCACTCAGACAGTCCAAAACCAGTTAAAATATTTTAATTAAGTCTCTAGTTATTCAGTTTGTTTCTGTGCAGTAGACCAACAAACTGTCAAAAGGTAAGCCCTAAACTGTTGTATATTTTAAAGATGAACCCAGATCAACTGTTACAGGCAGGAAAGGAGAAGGTTTTTCCCTCGAGAAGCTGAAAAATACTTGATGTCTTCCCTTTGTCCGTGCATTCTCCACCTTATCTTTGATCTTCATCCAATTCTGCAGCATTGTCTGCGGTTCTGGTTTGGACCCAGCTCTGTGACAAACAGCAGCACAGTGTTTCTGAAGGCCTGATGCATGAATGTTTGAGGCTTCAGGAGGGTCTGGATGTTGGCTCTAAGCTTGATTACACTGCAAAAACAAAATCCTACCAACTAAGTTTGGTCTAGTTTCTAGTGCAAACATCCAAGTACACTTTAAATAAGGAAAATCTCATGTTTGAGCAAAATGTATCTAATTCCTTTAATATTGATTTAATAAAAGTACTAGTTCAATTAGATGATTTCATTTATATTAAGATACTTTTCTTATAAATGAAATAATCTGCCAGTGGAATTGGTTCTTTTTCATCTATATAAACCAATTGTATCTTGCTGAAAAGTTATTTGTAATTTTGTTTTATTTCAAGTCTTCTGGAATATATCCACTAAAAACTAGACAGCAGATACTTATGACTTTGTGTTTTTGCAGTATGATTTGTGGTTTGTGTTGAAACTCGTTTTGTTGTGATTTTTATCAAAATGCTTAACGTTAGAGATGCACTGATCAGGCTCTTCCTGGCCATTTCAGGTTCAGATTTTGACCAATTTCCTTTTTTTTTAACACATACAAGTGAAAATGCGTAATTTAATTATTGCTAAACTGCAAATGACGTGTTTGTGGTTAATTGTTTCTCAACCAAAACATGGGGGGAGTTCTACATTTTGATGTAAAGAATAGATCAGATCTGCTGATCAGAGCTTATTGGGAAAATATTGGCTGATTCCTACTCGATCTGTGCATCTCTGTGAAATCTGTATAAGGGCATCAACTTTCTCATCTCAGTTAAATCTACAGATGGTTACCGCCACAAACTGAAGCAGAACAACCTGTTTACAACTTTACGGTTTGTAAAAAAATAAGTTGTGGAACAATCCTGCAGTAAATGAAGTACTACTAACCTCATTTAGGACTATTTTGGCTGGATTTTCTCTCAATTAGTTAGTAAAAACTCAATAAATTAAATTCATGCGCGTCTACAGGAACCTTTTGAACATGAAGGAGTTTACAGTTATGTTGGAGATGAATCCCCTGAAGCCAAACACATGCTGGTCCAGTTCGTGTTGCTGAACTTCACTGTACTCGGACAGATCACATGTATTCTCTCAGCTGCCTGCCACCCCCCACTTCTCCTTCAACCTGAGACTAGCTGTTGTTTGTGTTATAGTTATTTTTATAAGCTTTGCAAAACCAACCCTTTTCTATGTACATACAAAGTTGTATTTTTTTAACTTTACCTACTGGCTTCTCTGTGACATTGATGATGATGACGATGATGATGATGGCTGCCTGCAATTAAATATAAACTTCTTTTTTGTTTTCCAAGAACGTCTTTGTTGTGTCTTTGAGATTTCAAAGCGATGATGACCGTACATAGTTTGCTTCATTTATTTATGAGCTCTCTATAGTGTTTGGAGCACAGCGTAGCTCTGTAGTTTAGCGTTGGTCATGATATTTTTGTAAAAAAAAATTGTATTTGTAAATAAGTTTGCTTTTTTTTTTTACTAATCTTCATTTTATTAAGTTCTTTTTCAATAAACTTTGTGACATTTAAAGCAACACAATACATGGCAAGATAATTTATTGGAAAATGCATGTATATTAAAATTTAATGTTGGTAGAGTTCCCCAGATTTTTATTTAATATTTATTATCTTTGAAGTAGAAACAGGCCCACAGCATCACAGATCCTCTACGATACCTAACAGTGATTTTCAACATATTTACCCATTATTTTAACCCACAGCCACTTTAATTTTTAAGCCAGAAATCCAATCATTATGGTATTTGAGAAAAGTCCCATATCAAAATCTATGTTTATGTTTGTGATGATGGGTTTGAAAAGGCTGTTTTTGTTTTTTTGTTTTTTTTACCAATAATGCCAAACAATCATTTGGTAAGTAAAGGTTTTCTAATAGACTGATCATGAGAAGTTACAACAGCATGCTTATAAGTTTTTTTTTTTTTTTTTTTTAACTTTCTTGCCACCATTGTCACTGTGAGTGGTGTAAGATAAAAATAGGTTCTCATCCAGCCTAGTGGCCAGTTGTCATGTCACATTTATAATACAGGGAAAATTAAAGTCATGGATTACTAGCAGTTGCTCTTATAAGTATCTATTAACTGATCAATTTTAAAAAATATACATCAATTATAATGGGATTGTTAGGGGCACCAACTATTGTGCTACTCAGTAATGTGATCAAATATTTTCTTTTAAAAAATATAGATTTTGGATATTCTTGCATTTGTTGTGATAATATATTAATAAAATATATATTTAAACATTCGGCAAAACTGTTGGTAACAATTACATTAATATTATTTTTAATTAATTGATTAGATCAACAACCCCGACAAATTTAAAAATGTCACCCGCATCCAATACTACAACTCCTACGCCTTTTAAGCCATCCAGATAGAGGATTATTATGCCGATGATCGTGATTGACGTCTCTATCGACCAATCAGAAGTGAGGAAAACAGGGACGGCCAACCCCGTTCTTTCGGTGGGCGGGGCTGTAGTGGAGGGGGCAGGGCGCAAGTTATCATGGAGGATCAGTAGGCAACTTGCGGCCAACAGAGAAGGGCAGCTACCCGTCTGATCCCCGGGACTTTTCTCAACTGCTCAGCGCTCGGTTCTAAACAACCACACGTCACAGTTAAACATGGATATGAAGAAGAGGATTACTTTAGAGCTGCGGAACCGAAGCCCAGCAGAGGTACGCGACTTAGACTGTAAGAAGGTGGTAATTGTTGTCCGTGATGCGCGTCCGGAGCCCGGACCTTGCTTCTCGCCTTTCAGCACTTACTTACTCCCTTTATTGAGTTCGAGCGGGCTAATCGCATGCTAAACTATATTTATCGACGCGCTGACAGTATGAGTTAGAGCCCAGCCCGTTATAGTTGTTTGAGGTATATGTGGAGCATCTTACGGGGTTGCTCGGTCGTACCGCCCCCCTGCTCTCCTACAAAATTCCGTCTCTCACTCCGGCTCAACGGTCGATACACGCTGCTAATTCCTAAAACTTGTTCGGCTATAACTTTTTTCATCGTATCTGCTCCTCGGGGAAACTCCTCTTTAAAATAAAAATATTATTTGTGTTCAATCTGTTTTTTTCTGGAGTACGGTGTGGGTAAACAACAACTCATCTGATGTCCGTTATAGACTCGCTCGTCCTTTATGAGCGGACATTTTTAAGTCGCCGCCGCCGCTTTAAACTTCGACGACATTGTCTTACAGCAGACTTTCTTTCAACAGGTCCGGTCACGCCACGCAATGTCCACTTTAATTCACAGTCAAATTATTGTGTTTTCGTCTCTTTTCTCTTTTTTTCTCTCTTTTTGCGGTGGTTTCGGTTCGACCCAGCTCGCTGGCGCGCAAAGGTCGGTCACAGGCTGCGCGGCGGAGCGGTAACGCGTTACCGACCTGCCGCTACAGAAAGCGGATTAGCTTTCGTGTCGAGCGGAATTTTCGACGACGACGCGAAAATGTCGACTCGGTGACCTACAGAAACTGGTTAAAACCAGGCGGCGTTACGCCCCGGTAACGTGGCCACCAGGTAACCGGAGGGTTCGACGACGGAATAAGGACGACGTAACGGAACAAGATGGCGTTACACCTGAGCCGTTAGAGTACAAGAAATTAGATTACTGTGTGTTCACGTAGCTCTCGAGGAGCTGTGAGCGCAGATATTGGTGTGCCCGGTTGTGTCGACTGCTCCCATAAACCGGTTCTTTAAAGCTGCATGTGTGTGTGTGTGTGTGTGTGTGTGTGTGAGTCTGTGTATTATATAACCAGCAGCTCAGGTTAAATAATACTCCAAGTTAATTTACTTGAACAGATGAAACGCTGCGGTCATGTTTTATAAATTGGGGGAAGCCGGCAGATGGTTAATGCAGAGAAACCTCCACCTCCTCCTCCTCTTCCTGCAGCACTCTGCATGCAGATTACAGTGGGTTAAACCCTGCACACTCACAGCGCAGATGATGATGGAGCTGCAGGCTGATGCTCTGCTCAGGCTCTTACGTTATATAAGGCTTGGAAGACCAAAGGATTCTGGGAAATAAACCAGTTACTAGTCAGAGTAAAACCAGTAGTCTCACCAATACAACAGGAACTACACTGTTATTTATTTACACAAAACACAGATTTAGTTAAAGCTCCAGTACATAACTTTCTCTTTTTTTTTTACATATTTGTTAAAACTATCACCATGCCATGAGAGTATAATATGAGACAGATAATAAATGAACAGATTGATCTCCTCCACATCCTCCCTGAGTTGCTATTACCATCTGAAGAAATGCACCGCTCCTAACCAAAAACAACCAGTCAGAGTCAGGAGGAGGTTCTTAGCGCTGTCAATCAATCTCATGTACTGCTTAGTGTGCTAAAAGGGGAGAAACAACTTACCATTACTGGAAAACTATTAATCTGCTGTCACTGGTGGCCATGCTAACTGGCCTGAGGATTCACTACTTAGGAGGAGCAGCAACACAGAGTGATTGACAACGCTAAGACCCACCTCCTGGCTATGATTGGTTGTTTCTAGTTGGCACTGGGACAAGGCTAGATTTTTCACAAATTATCTCTCATATTATGCAATCATGACATAGAGACAGTTTCAACAAATATGTAAAAAATATTTCTTTAAAAAGTTACATACTGCAGCTTTAATAGAGACCCAGATATTTAAACTCCCCCAACTCCATAGGCTCTCCTCTTCCTCCTCCTCCTCTTCCTCCCTGCTCATTACAAAGTCATCTGCAAATATCATAATCCAGTGGAGGCTGACTTCATCTGTCAACCTTTCCATTACCATTACAATGTCCTAAAAAAATACAGAAACTATATTGAGATACATTAATAAAGATAACAATATTGTTGTTTTTAATTATTAGCTTATTAAATATGTATGACTAGTCAATAATAAATAAATAAATAAATTTGATAAAAAGAGTCAAAGACTCAAATAGGTTAGTGTAAAAATAAATTAGAATGTAAGTAAATAAAATAATTATTAATTATTTGCATTTTATTATATTTAAATGATTAAATATTGAACATAATAAACATAATAATTTCAACTATAATTACTTAGTGTAATAATTATCCTATAATATATGAATAATAATAAATATATACTGCATAGTAAATAAAGTACAGTAAATAATATAATTAATAATTATATACCAAATATAAATGCAAAATATATAATTTTAGATGTAAATGCAGAATAAATAAATTCATTTATAAATATAAATAAAACTTATTTATTTGTAAAAATGTAAGGCCCTTGCCTTTTTATTGTTTTGTTTGTTTTCTGATCAATTACTTTTTAATTAATTAATTATTGTTTAATTTTGTCATGAATAAACATGAACCAGATTAGTGTAACAGTTTCTAAATTAATTGACAAATTAATGTAAATTAATGATCATTATTTGTGCTGTTTTTGCTCAATCTAAAACAAATTGTATAAAAACATTCTGATCCATTTGCAGTTAAAAAGTGGGATGTTTCAGTTTCTGCTGTGTTCGGTGAACATAGAAGTAATGATTTCTAATCAATGGGTTTATCTTTCAGATTGTGGAGTTGGTTGTGGACAACAGTCGATCTGCTGATGGCGAGGTCGAAGGTCTGACGGATGAGTTCACAGAGCTGGAGTTCCTCAGCGTGGTCAACGTCGGTCTGAGCTCTCTGGCGAAGCTGCCTTCACTGCCCAAACTACGGAAGGTAAGCCCACCTCACCTGTCACCTGAACAGCAAACATTTACACTCTGACTTTGAGATATAAGTTTAAATTTAAGATATTTAAATTCAAATGTTTTTTCAGAGAATCAATATGCTAAAAAAAATGCAGAATTAATTTAAATAGTTCAGAAATGTCTAATGGCGGTGGAGGGGAAACGAAGCGTTTTGTGTCTGTTTTTGTATTGAATAATACATGTAGTTCACCTGTTAGTTCACCAGGTGTCGCCATTGTGCTGGTCTCAAACCCAAAACTAAACAATGAACTTTCAGATCCCAGTAATAAGTTGTTTCTCTCACTTGTTTCACTGGTAACATGAATAAGTATTTTTATCTTCAGTTTGTAGATAAAATAAACTCATCCAGACTGGTCCACTGTTGTAATATTTTAGTTAAAACTGTGATTTTCAGCTATAAAGCTCTCTTTTTGAATGTAGGCTCAAGCAGGAATGTCTACATGAAGTTATTTTTGTTCTCCTGAATATTAAACCAGTCATTTTCGTCTCAGTTGGAGCTGAGTGACAACAACTTATCGGGGTCTCTGGACACTCTAGCACAGAAATGTCCCAACCTGACCTACCTCAACCTGAGCGGGAACAAGATTAAAGAGCTGAGCACGTTGGAGGCGCTGGTCAGTTACCTCGTTTAGTTTGGTTCGTTTTAGTTTGTCATTATTATTAGGAGAGTCTGACTTTGTGACGTTTCCTGCTGCAGCAAAACCTGAAGAGCCTGCAGAGTCTGGACCTGTTTAACTGTGAGATCACCTCCCTGGAGGACTACAGGGAGAGCGTGTTCGAGCTGCTGCCTCAGGTGACTTACCTGGACGGCTTCGATCAGGAGGACAACGAGGCGCCGGACTCTGAGGCCGACGATGAAGGTGAGAGGATGACCTCCGCCCGAGCCCGGTTTAATGGACCGAAACGACTCAGCACCTCGGAAGAGGGCGAGGCCCACAAGAGCAGAAAAATTTTTAAAAACTCTTACTTTAATCTCAGAACTCTGACTTGTTTGAATTTAGACGAAGGTTGACAGAATTAGAATGAGTTTAGAGTCGGAATCCTGATAAAAATGTCAGATTTAGTTTTTGGTTTCTTGTCCCTAATCCTCTTCCGTACGGTCCTGCCCTTCATGGGAACGTTTCTGTCTGCTTGTGAAAACGTTCGGTGTCGGTCTCTGCTTACAGACGAGGACGGCGAGGACCGGGCGGGGCCGACCGGCGACTACGGGGAGGAGGATGATGAAGAGGAGGATGAGGATGGCTCAGAGGGAAGAGAGGTGGGACTGAGCTTTCAGGTGAACCAGGCCAACCAGGTGGGCAACTCGCCTCTGAAACCTCAGGACTCATAGCAGCCCCCTCCCTCCATCCCTCCCATCCCATCACACAGCAGAGAACAGAGTCCTGCATCAGAGCTACTGCTGGTTCTGTTAGACCCGGTCCAGTTAGATGGACTCTCCTCAGGCATAGTGTTGTTGTGGTTCAAGTTCAGCACCAGAACAACCACCACTGACGGTCCACACTGCAAAAACACAAAACTGTTTTTGATCTAGTTTATTGTTCAGATATCTTATTACGCTTTAAATAAAATAAAACTAAATTATAAGGAACTTTTCAGCAAAATATACAAGATTGTTTTAAGTCAATAATAAGTTCTAGTTCCACTGGAAGATTATTTCACTTTTAATATGAGAAAAATGTCTTGGTTCGCTCTGAGCGATAAATCAATTTGATCAATTGATGGAAGAGTTAATGTTTGGAAAATGGGATTTTTTTCTCCAATCGACTCCTTCGGTTCCGTAGTTCAGAGTGATGTCAGCGGCGGCCATTTTGTTTTAAAGTTTCTGTTTAACTTTGAGTTCAGGTGAACTCTACAACTATTATGACTTTATCATGGAGATAAAGTCATTTCACTTTTTGCAATATTATGACTTTATCTCCATGATAAAGTCATAATATTGCAAAAATGCAGTTTTAGGGCAAGAGAGTCGAAATAATGAGAGAATTAAGCGTTAATATTATCAGAATAAAGTCGAAATTTCAGGAGAATGAAGAAATAATTTTATGAGAACTCCAACACAAAAGTTAAAAAAAAAAATAAATGTAATGAGGAACATTGAGAATTGTGTGGAGTTACACATTGGAGTAATTTTTTACAAATAAGGAAATACTTCACTTTTTTATACATCATAATCAAATTATTATCAGTGGCAGGACTTTAAAACGATTGACAAACCACATGGACTGATCTGGTCATGTCAGATTGAGATGACTCCATCAGAGCTTTATTCTGGTAAAACTGAATCTTTATTCTGCTAATATTATTATGTTATTCTCATAATCAAACAAAAACTTTAATCTGCCTCTAATTCTTTGCTGTCCAGCTCACAGAAGGGATGTCTGAAACAAAATCCACTTTTGAAAGTATTTTCTGCCATTTGTAATTCTTTCTAGAAAAGAAAACGAGAAAAAGTTGATTAAAATCAGATCAGAGATGAAAAAATCTGAGATTTTACTTTTAAGCCACATTGCCTTAGTCTTCTTATTTCAATCTACCAGAGAAACTAGTATATTTTAAATTAATATTAAGAAATTATTGACTTAAAGCAAGCTCCTATTTCTTGCTGAAAAGTTACTTGTAAGTTAGTTTTGTCTTATTTGAAGTGTCCTAACATTTGCACCAGAATAGAGACCATAAGTACTTGGTAATGTTCTGTGTTTTTGCAGTGTGTTTTGAAGCTGTTTTGACCCGGGAAGCTTCAGATCCAGTCAGAGTTGGTCCGATGGTTGTTGACTCGGCCTCCATGTTGTCCTGACGAATAGACAAAGAGCCTCATTAGTGTCGTCCAATCAGAAACATCTAACGGTTTTCACGTTTTTAACTTTAAAGTTTTACATTTCTCTCCGTCTCTTTGTGTGTCTGCTCTTCGTTTCAGGAAGATTACGAGGATGAGGATGACTATGCAGAGGAAGAAGGTGAGGGTGCTGCAGCTGGTTCAAGTTGAAACTTTTACTATTTTTACTAGAATTGTAAGTGATTGAGACAAAGTGGAAGGAAAGTGATCAATTGTTTTCAGTTTTCTTTTTCAAAAACTGAAACTTCTTCATTTTTCTTTATGAAGAAGCTCAAACTGAGTCAGACTAAACGGAGAGTTTTCACGCTTTTTCCACAATCTAAACTAGAGCTGCAACTAATAATTGTTTTAATTATCAATTAATCAGTTATTCTGGCAATTAATCAGATAAAAAATTGGCTCATTCTGCAGCTTTTTCATTTAAGCTTTTCTAAAACATTATTAGAAAAGCATTAAGACAGATAAATAAAAAAATTATTCAATTCCTTTTTAAATAATGAAACATTTAATTGCCTAAAATGTAATAGCATAGCTTCCTTTGGTGAATTTGAACCAGGTGAACATGAAAAATGCTGTCTGAGGAGTTCTGGGTAAAACATTTACAGGCAAAAGGTTTTTTGTTTATCTTAAATGTAAAATATATATATATTGTTCATTTTTGGCTTAATTACTGCTCTGAAAATGTTATTCTTTAAGCAAATTGTTTTCTTTGAATCTGTATACTTCCGTTAATTATTAATCAGCTATTAAATTAGTTTATGATTATTTCAGTAATCGATTAATCATGATTAATTCAATTAATCGTTTCAGTGCTGATGTGAGGCCTCTTGTTTTTGCTAGTTTACCCATTAAAGGTTTATTTATTAATTTAAATCTAAAATGTATATATATGTTGCTTCTGTTTTGGCTTAATTGTTCTGGCTTTAACTGTATTGTTCTTTCAGAAAATGACTTCAGTTGAGTCTGTATGCTCCAGTTAACAATTAATTGATTACTAAATTAGCGGATGATTATTTCAATAGTTGATTAATCATGATTAAACCGATTAATCACAATTAAACTGATTAATCGTTTCAGCTCTATTCGTAATGTGACAAAACATGATGAAATGTTAGTGGTGTGGATACTTTTTCAGGCTCTGTGTGTCCTCCTGTCTCTGCAGAGGAGCAGCCTGGCGCTCCGGGACAGAAGAGGAAGAGAGACGTAGACGATGAAGGCGAGGATGACGACGACGATGATGAGGACAACTAGTCGTCCGTCCGGCTGTCGTCCACGTGTCGTCCCGCCCCATCTGGACCCAACCTCCACCAAGCAGCAGCCGCGGCGCTGCTACCCGAGATAGTTGGTTTCAGTTTGTTAGAGAGTCACTCATTTTTTAGATGAAATTATATTTAAAGAGAAAGAGATTTGATGTGAACTTTACCTGTTGGCTCCAGCTGAAGACTCCACACGTTTCCCTTTAACAAAAAACCTGCTTTAGGGTCAAACCCAGTGTTTGCCCACAACCAGAACCCCCTGGCCCGAATGCTGGGCAGCTGACGTTCTGCTTTCCTCAGGCTGCTGCAGCTCCTGCCAATGTCAATCTCCAAGCACAGAAACCCGCTAAACACGCCTCTCGCAAATCTTCAGGGAAAACCTTTTAAACCGAGAGCCGATCACTCCCAAATTCAGATAATATGAGAGATATCTGTCCACATCCGTAACTCCAGGTTGTTTTATTACAGAGAGCTGCTCAAAAAAATCACTACACAGGCTTTTAAACAACCCTCTGAAAACAGAAACCCAGCTTGGATCCTTCAAGTATTTCTACTAAAATAATCTTACATTATCTTACCAAGTACTTTTGGTCGAGTTTTTAGTTTAAATATCTTTCTACACTTAAAATAACACAAAAATAACTTATGAGCAACTTTTCAACAAAATAAGTACTAATTCCACTGGCACCGCACGTTACCTAGCAACCCCAGCCCGTCGCCTAGCAACCAAGTTCTAGTTCCTGGCAGATTACTTCACTTTTAACAGGACATTTAATTCAGTTCAATTCAAAGATACTTTATGGATCCCAAAGGGAAATTAAATGTTTTTCATTTTAATGTTTTCATTTTTCCCATACTTCAAGTGAAATAATCTGACAACTGAACTTTTTCACCGATATTAAGGAAATATTTTCTTAAAACAAGCTCATATTTCTTGACGAAAAGTTACTTGTAAGTTAGTTTTATGATATTTCAAATGCACTAGAAACTAGGCCTAATATACAGGAACTAATTGCTGCTTTCTATTGGAATAATTTAATATTTTAATAAAAGTCCACTATATATCTGTCTGTCTGATTGGAAGCTATGATTTACTGGTTTATTTTCAAACCTCTAAATCATGAGTGTCCGAACTTTTTATCACATCAAAATTAATCACAGGCCAAATATCATTTTAAAAAGCTAAAATCACCAAAAATTGGATTTTTTTTAGACTACTCCACAATAAAGTAAACACCATCTAATTTAATTAAACAAATAAAGTAATCTGATTTTTCTTATAGGAACAGGATAGCAGATTAAATTGTTTTTGTATGTTTTCCTTGTCATTTTTAAAACGTATTAATTCATTTGGTAGGGACAATGCACATTAATTAACATTTTTTGTAAACTTTGCCAGAATTATCCATCATTCTGCTAAAAACAAAGGTTATATAAACAATGTTAAAAAGACTAGACAACACACATTTTGTCAATAAATGAAATCAGTAAGTACAAGACAATTACAACACAATTATTATTAAAAATTATAAGAAATAATCCAAATGAAATTAATTTATGTAAATTGATGAAAGGCATCATTAGCTAATTATTTTAGGCTCGACTGAATAAAACAGAAAATATTTTGTCTGTTCTAAGCGATAAAAACAGGATCCAGGTCAGTCTTCATTTGAAAACAGTTGCTGTCAGGTGAACTTTAGAGCATCAGTGAATGAGCAGATGTGGTTCTGGTTACCATGACAACACTTTGTGTTGCAGTTAACAGTTTTTAAGTAGATTTTCATTCAAAAGTCGTAGGTTTGTCCTAATTTATTTAATTCATTCTTTAATTATGGTTGGCATTGGGCCGCAAAAAATCAATTCCAGGGGCCGCAAACGGCCCCTGGACCCACTTTGAACTCCCTTACTCTAGATTATGTCTAAATCTTTGCAATTCTCTTGTTTCAAATGATCCTGCAGCGACAAAACCCACAGGAAATCTTTTAAAAACAAACTTAAGAGCTGATTGGTGCCGCAGCTGGTTCCCCGTCAGAACCTGGGAGCCCTTCAGGGAAGCCATGTTTGTCAGGGCAGAGCCGCGTAGATCCAGCCATGTCCGCTCCTCTCCAGGTAGTGATAGGAAGACCTGCCACTCCTCAGGTCCACACAAGTAGACCCTGTCGTTTCGGTGTGTGACTCGTTGTACGTCGTTTTTTTTGTGATAGAGTGGAAGGAAATCTTAGATTTGTGGGTTTTCTTTGATTTGAGTGTTTTGTTTTCTTAATGTGTTTTTTTCTTCTTCTTGGTTTATGTTGTTTTGAATCAGCAGCTGTTAATATTTTTAAAGCGAGCGGCTCGTTGTTTGTTTTTTTAACTGTCAGATCACCATGATGTCACAGCTCAGGCTCCGCCCACTTCCTGCTCTCATGCTCAGATTTTAACATCCTTGACTCCTTTCCTCTCCTCCTCAGGCTCTTTTTGTTGTAATCAAAAGGGGGCGCTGTGGAGCAACAAAGTGTCAAACCAACATAATTACAACTACAAGTCTGAAAAAAAAAAATATTTCCAGTTTTTATTTCCTATTTAATTTTTTAAATGTTCCTTCCTTATGTCATTCACTTTCTCCCTCCTTGTTTTATTCCTCTGTTTCTTATTTCCTTCCTTTTTTGCATCCTTTAATCCTTTTGTTTCTATTTTTCTCTTTCTTGGTTCGTGCTTCTCTTTCTTTATTGATTCACTGTTTTCTTCCACCTCTTCTCGCGTTTTTTCTTTCTTTTCTGCTCCTCTCTTGCATCCTTCCTTATTCCCTTCATTTCATCCTTTTTCCTCTCTTCTATCTTTTCTTCTTTACATCTTGCGCTTAATTTTCCCTTCCTTTTCTCGTTTCCTTTCTTGCTTTTTAATAGTTTATTTTCTTTGTTTAGATGTTTTCCTCTTCCTGTTCTTTAGTCTTCTTCCTTTTTTCCTACTTTTCCTTCTTTCTCTTTGCTCTCTGTCCTTCTTTTGTCTCTACACTGTTAAAAAAAAAAAAAAAAAAAAATATATATATATATATATATATATATATATATATATATATATATAAAACATAACTTTTCAGCAAGATATATGGATATATGAGCTTGTTTAAAGTCAATAATTTCTTAATGATTTAAGAAAATACTAGTTCCACTGGAAGATTATTTCACTAAAAATGTGTTGTGATAAGTTAAATAGTCTGCCAGTGGATTTATTCCTTTTTAAATCAATATTAAGCTGTTATTGACTTTAAAAAGTTCATATTTCTTGCTGAAAAGTTACATATAAACCGTTTTTTCTTATTTCAAGCGTACTAATATATCTGCATTAGAAACACTAATATTTTCTGTTTTTGCAGTGTAGTTGTTCCTTCTTTCTTTTGTCTTTTTCCTGCAGATTTTGAATTTTAATCCTGACCTCAGTTATAAACATCTGCACTAAACACAAGGGGATTTCTTGATTCTGAAACTGGGAGCTAAGCTAATTTAAGGAGAAGTGAAGGAAGTGGAGGAAGCCTGAATTAACAAAGGGAGACATCTTTGATTTTTTTTTAGAGCTGTCATTTTAAACCAATTTAGGCTCAACCTGCTGTTTGACTTTCTGTCTGTCTGTCATTTTGTTATTTTTATGATCTCTGACAGATCAGCATTAACAGTGTTCATTAAAATCTATTTATTATGACTTCAGTTTGCTGCTGGGTTTGTTTGCCTCCTCTTTTATTATTCTGTTTTTATTTCCTTAACTGAGGAATATTTCAGTCAGGAAGCAACAGAAAGGACACAATCTGTTGGACCTGTTGAGGTAAAAACAAGTTTTGATAAACGTTTGTAGCTCATTTTCCACATGTAGTCAGAAATCTGGGGAAAATAAATATATTTTCCTACATTTGAGCCGTTAATCCACACGAAAACTCTGTTTAATATCACAAAAAAATTAATTTATAAAAGGAAAACTTCGACCAAAGTGGAGATTTGAGAAAACTCCTTATTTCTGTTTACAGTCGGTGACAAATAATGCGCTGATTTATCCACATATTTGCTTTGACGTGATTCCCGATCAACTTTGTGTTTTATTAACTTTATATTCTATTACGCTATTTAAAAGTAGTTCAGCTATTTATTCACACAGACGAACCTACTGGCGCCATGTTTAATTTGTAACAGGAAGTCGCGGCTGTTTTGAAGCAATCTGATTGGCTGCTTTGCGCCACACTGCCCCCTATGGGTTTGGCAGGTTTACAACAACCTGCCAAACCCAGGTTTGTAGTTTTCATCTACATCAGACTTATGTAGATGAAAACTTTTCTGAAACTGATCTCAAGTTGATATTGTATTTTTAAACGATGTGGCGGACATATTTGTTTTTATAAAGACTCGATTACGTGTGAACAAGGCCTTTGATTGCTAAGTTAAAGATGTATTTAGTGAACTTAGATTAATTTTAATTTTGCAGGGATAAAAAAAATATTATAACATAAAATCAGCTGATTGTTGGTAGTAATGTGATTAAAACTATTCTTTAGAAATCCTAATTGGAATAAAAAAATAAAAAAACATTTTTTCCAGACCTAAATTTAAAATTTTGCCCAAAAAACCCCTCCTGAAGTTCTTCATAATTTTTTGTTTTTGGTTCATCACTCCAAGATTAGCGTTAGCTGTGATAAGAAGAGAAAGGACTGAATTTACTCAGTGATCCAAAGTTCACTTTTCAGATTAAAGTAATTCTGAAAATTACTTTAATCTGTAAAGTAATTTTACAGATTAAAGTAATCTGTAATCAGGAAGTCGCGGCTGTTTTGAAGCAATCTGATTGGCTGCTTTGCGCCACACTGCCCCCTATGGGTGTGGCAGGTTGTTGTAAATGTATTTGCAAAAAAAAAAAAAAAAAAAAAATGGGGGAAAAAAACTATCGGAGCAACTTGGTAATTTTTTCAATAATTAAG